ATGCTTGACTTACATCAAGATTTTTCAAACTTTCTTTATCAATAAGACTTGTTGTATTACTCATTTTATTTAAAAATACAAAAAAAAAATAAAAAATTTAACTTTATTTCTAAAAAATATATCAAAAGCTTCTCTTTCTATGATAGTAAATGACAAAAATAATTTAATGGTGTAAGTAAATTTTTAAAACCGCATTGATTAGTAGTACATAGACAATACGACGAAAAATCTAATTCATTTAAAAGAAAAAAATAAATAAATGGATAAATACGAAATAATAGATGCAACATACATATCTTGTTCAATAGAATAATATTGAATTGAAATAAAAACTAGGGTATGGATGTGATGCGTGGTGGGTGTGGGTGTGTTAGAATGGAAGACACACACCCACACCCCATATTTTCGCTCAAAGAACCTGATGACTCTCTCAGACAAAGAAAGAGTGATCCAACAAGTTTGCCACTAAGTTGGATATCAGATTGATTTGTATTAATTACGTAATCCGAATCATATTTCGATAAAAGCTTGTGCATAACCGATACAAATTCATTCGCAGAATGATGGATTTCTTTTTGATTTGATACTTGTCCTGTAGTTATCACCTGACGCAGAATTTAGTTTCTCCTTTTTCAATTAAAAAAAGTCACTTACTTTAGTAACTTTTCTTGAACATATATTAGGTTGTATTCTAAAATTAAATAACTATTTTTCTGAAGTAAACAAGTCATATAATGATTCTTGTTCAGCTTTCTCTAAACCCATCGACGCAAGTCAATATCGTGTACGGGTAGAAATGATTCCCGAGCTTGTTCAAATTTGTGATAAATATAATTATTTATATTTTCTAGTTTTTGCTTTCGTATTCCTCCATTTTCAATATAAGAACGGAAACGAGAAAAATATGTGGAATGTGGATGTGAGTGTTGGTCTTCTAATAGTCAGACCTATCCACACTCACACACCATATCTGCACCCAAGTCCACACCGATACCCTTCGTTCAAAATTTGCTAAAAAAATATTGATGAGAATATGAAATTCGAACATATTACAAAAAGTTTCATGTAGATTTTTTATCTTTTTATACATTTTTATATTTTTTGTAGTTTAAACATCTAACTGGTTCAACAGCTGGTACACTTCTCGAATATGTCCAACGGAATTTACATGAAGGAATCATGATGAGTGTTGAACGAGTAAACAGTTGTTTAATAAATACGAAACCAAACAAAAATCTTTTATATAAATGAGTGTCATTAAATTGTTTCATTTTTTTTTCTTGAATACAATAGACATTTATTTGAATACTGATTCTATCGTTTATATATATATATCAAATAGGTTTCTTCGTAGCAAGAAAAACGAACATGATATTATGCTATGATTAATCAGTTTGTTTTTTTTATTTATGAAATATGTTTGAAGAAAATTAATCATATAGAATGACATGAAAAATGAGGGAAAAAATCATATTATTTTGTTCGAAAAAGACCGATATTGATCTTAATGATTTGAAACGTTACTTTGAATTATTTCTTATGGGGTTCGTTTGGAATCTTTTTGTGATAATCTGTTGCCACCATCATCATCATCGACAACAACAGCATCAGAAAAAAATTCGGAACAACAATAAACCTTCTGAATTCTTAACATTTCATTACGAATTATATTGTTAGTTTAATAAAAATACACTTCTCTACATATTTATTCCAATTTTTCTATATAAAAGTCAATAACTACAATTATATAACAGATAACTCAGACAAATAGAAATAGAGAATGTTACACAAGAGAAAATAAACCTGATTTTTACTTTTTTTTTTTCATCAATTATTGCCCAATAGTACACATCTGTATTCTTAGTATATATATTTCCTTTTCTTCTCATTGTACCTGTCATTTGGAACTAAAAGCATTAATGCTGATTTATGTATTTATATTTCTAATAGTATAAAAATAATTCTCATAAACATTTGACAGTTTACTTAATCTTATCGAAGATAGAATGGCTTTGACGGTTTTTTTATTTAAAGTTGCTAAACTTGAAATAGGAAACACGAAATCCGATGTATTCGATGAAAATCAAGAACAATCAACACCATTAATTAATGATGACAATACTCAATTACTTTGTGCTAAAGTTATATTTCGAGGTATTTATTTAAATTATTCTTATTATAATTAAAGAATCTCTTTTTCTTTTGACATCAATTGTGAATTAAAAAAAAAGTTTTTTTTTGTTTTCTTCAGAAAGTCATCTTTGGTCAAACAATGTTCCGATATATAATGGAACAGCAAGTTTTATTGCACGTGGAAATAAACCAAAAAAATTTGAATTTAATTTAGCAACAATGTTATTACCGAATGATAAAATGCGTATTGAATTTTATACAACAACTATGAAAAACAAACGTAAAAAAATGATTGCACTTTTTGAATTAATGCTTCAATCATTAATTGATTCAAAATATATTGATTTACCCGAAGAAAATTTATCCGATCCAAATAATTATTTATTAAAATCAACTATACAACTTAAACTTTATTATACATCACCAAATATTGAAAGAGAAAAGGTCGCATTAAGTCAAGTTAATGATCTAACTAACACAATTGATTGGAAGAGTACATTTGATGATGAAGGTCGACAGAATGGTCATCGACATCGATATACTCATAAAAAACATCGTAAGGGACTGTAAGTACCAAAGTTATTTTTTCACTTATACGAAGAATGTTTCATGCATGAAAAATTAATGATATTTTTTTCCGTAAGATAATAGATTATCGTTCGAGTTATCTTATTAAAATTGTTGATCAATCTTATTAGAATAAAAATGAATATGATTTTTTTTAATTTTAGTAAAAAATTACGTATGAAACTCGTCGGTCGTGCAAATGATACAGATTCCGATTCATATAGTGATGTCGACCTTGACGACAATAAGAATCCTCATGAAACATTTGCATCCATGACTGAAGAAGAAAAATTAAAAGTTCAATATAATAATCTTGAATTACTCGAAAAAAGGTTTTTTAAAAAAAATTTTGTTTATTAAAATTTAGATTTTGTTATTTAAAATAATTATAGTTTGGGACGATATGAAGGTGATGCATATCAAATGACACAATGGCAAATTATGGTTAATATTATACAAGGACGAGATTTTCCTGGACATGATATTAATCCATATGTATGTGCTCAAATTGCTGATCAAAAACGATATACAGGAATGCAAAAATGTACTAATTCACCATTTTTTGGAGAAGTAAGTCATTGAAATACAAGAATTCTTCAATAAAATCATATCATAAATCCGCCATAATAGATATATCGAGAAACATAAAATGAATTCTCATTTTAGAAAAACTTCTAAAACAAAATTGGCAACAATCCAAACTAATACTCATTTGAAGAAAAAAGGCGTGTGGAAATTTTTTTCAATAATTTTTGATATAGACAAGATAGAGAGCTGCAATTTTTATCGGTCGACCTTTTTGAAAACTAACTTACCCTTTGAAATAACTATAGTCAATTTTCAATAATCAGAAGTGTATCCAAACTACAAATGTAAGATCTATAAAATGACGAAAACATCAGACTTTTAGACGTAGTTATTCAGAAGTCATAGGTTGTCTAGTCGAAATTCTCGGTCGATTTTTCAAGCAATTTTTGTGAAAAAAAAATCACATTTTTGCCTTTTCTTATGTTAACAAGAACTATTTTTCCCAATACGTTTTTTTTGTGGTAGTTTTGAAAATCATGTAAGAACATATTCTGAACGATTAAAATGATACTTTTATTCTAGAAAACAAAAAATAAATAAATGAAATTTTAACAATTGAATATTTCTGTATAAATAATAATCTTGTTTTTTTTTTCTCTAGTTCTTTACATTTGATTTTTCACTTTCGGCGACACAAATGATGCAAACAGTGATTTATTTCAAAGTAAAATTTCGATCTATATATCTGTTAATATAATGATTATTTTTGTTTTTTTAGGTTCATCATGCACAAAAATTAATTAGTACATTTATCGATACAAAACCAATTGGTATATTTAAGGTTGATGTAGCAACTGTTTATAATGAAAAAGAACATGTATTTGAACGAAAATGGGCTCAATTAACGCATCCAGATTCTATTAAAGCACCTTGTGGTTATTTACTTGTTTCAGTTGCAATTGCACAACGTGGTGTTTCAACAAAAGTAAACATTAAAAAAAAGAAATATTTTTTCATTTTATTAGTAAATTTTTTTCTTAAAGAATATTCTTGGTGAAACAACACAAGATGATGATGAATTAAAACCATCGTAAATAAAAATATAAAACACATTAGTTTTTTTTTTTGTCTTTTAACTTATATTTGATTTATTTATAGAAAAGAATTTATACCAGCTGCTATGCCTCGACATCTTTTTCCAGTTCAATTAAAAATCACATTTTTTACAGCAACTGAATTACCTGAAATGATGACAGATTTTTTAGCAACTGTTTCAAAAAAAATTCTTGCTTCTGATGATTGGGAACCAGTTGATCCATATGTTGAAGTATCATATAATGCAATAAAAGCAACAACAGATTATCGTAATGGTACATCACCTGTTTGGGGTGAAGCACTTTATTTAATTGGACAATTTCCACCACTTGTACGAACAATAAAAATAGCACTTAAAGATCATGCTGCTGTTCAAAAAGATCGTACAATAGCATCATTTTTAATCGATCTGTTTTCCATAAGTGAAAGTAATCCATTAGCTGGTTTTTTACCAATATTTGGTCCAACATGGGTCTTTTTATATGGAAGTCCAAGAGAATATACTATTAATAAAGATCAAGATGATCTTGGAGAACGAATAGGTGAAGGCATTTGTTATAAAGGACGTTTACTTATGGAAATTGAATGTCATCCAATAAGTGGTGAACATACATCGAATATGAATGTACAAAAAGAAAGTGGAATTCAATTTCCTGACGTCGTAAATTTATTTATTTTACAATTTCATAAGAATATTTTTTCGATTGTTATTATTTTCTTTTTCCTATAGCATATATTTCCAATGAAACGTACATTTATATTATTCGGTGGTATTTTTGATGTAACAATGATTGATAAGGCATTTGGTAATACAGCAATATGTTTTGAATTAAGCATGGGTTCAAGTGGATATTTAAATCCACAGCAATTAACTACTCATCAATCTGTTTCATCAGTAACACGACCTTATCCGCGTAGTCCAATTGATAATAATGCACAACATTTTCGTTTACCTATTGATTTACAAAAACCAATATTGTTTACAAAATATATATTTCATGATTATCGTTATCGTATGAATTTATCAAACCGACTGAAACATGCATCTGAACATATGGTATTGATTGTTTTCTTTCTTTTTTTTTTGCATTTAAGAAAAGTTTTCTTTTGTTTTAGTTAAAATTAATTCGAGAATTTGAATCTAATGTTAATTCAAAGGTATCAAATGATATTTTACTACAACAATATCGAAAAATGGAAGAATATATTCATACATTACCATGTGGATGTAGTCAAATGAAATCAACTGATAATAATCTTGATATAATGGGTCTAGTTCATGCGACTCTATCGGAAACATTAAATTTTCCAAAAACAAATCTTCGCATGAATATATTAGATGAAAAACGACGAAAAAAAATTTTACATAATTTAGAATCATTAAAAATTTGGATTTCGAAAGAAGTTGATTTTGATGAATCAAAACTATATGAAACAGTTAAAGAATTATATAAAATAGCTCGAGCACTTCGACAATTGGCTATTGATGTAAATAAAAATTATTTAGTTATTTAGTTATTTTTATAGATTCTTTTTATTTTTATTTAAGGCTCAACCATCATTACCTGATATATTTTTATGGATGATATGTGATTCAAAACGAGTAGCTTATGCACGTATTCCACCGGAAGATATTCTTTTTAGTCTATGTGAAGGTGATAAAGGTTTACATAATGGTCGAATACAAACACTTTTTCTTCAAGTCTCTTATTGAATTTCTTTTTTTTCTTATATTTTATTTATGAAAATTTTTATTTTTAAGACTCCACGTACAACAGATAAACCAATAAAATCATCAACAAATGCTAAAATACAAATATATCTTTGGCTTGGTACTGAAGAACAAGAAATAAATATATTTAAACAATTACCTGCTGGATTTGATATGCCACCATTACCATTACCTGTTGATATCAAATATATACGATATAATAGTGAGAAAATAAATTTATTCTTCAATAGATAGAAGATAGATTTGTATTTTAGAAAGATCGTTTTATGAATTACGATGTCATTGTTATAAAGCAAGATCATTAATTGCTTCAGATGAAACAGGTTTCTCTGATCCTTATTTAAGTATTACTGCTGGGAATGAAACACAAACAACACCTGTAAGTTTATTTAAAAAAAAATATAAATTATTTAATATGTTTCAATTAATATAAATATATTAAATGATTGAAAATCTGAAATTTAATTTATGTTATGGAAGAAATAATTCTTTTTTTCAATCAAATTATAAAACTCGAATACTCTTTCTTTTTCTTTTATAGATTCTCAAAGAATCATTATGTCCACAATGGAATATAACATTGGTTTTTCGAAATTTGATACATGTTGGAAATCGAGAAACAGCCGAAGAAACCATTGGAAATGTTGTTGTTGAATGTTATGATTATGATGATGTAATTATTAGATTTTTCATTATTGAATTAAGATCATGGCAAAATTTTAAATTTCTCGATTAAAAAATTGAATAAGTCAAGAAGGACATCGCTCGGCGGTCTGTATATTTCAGAAATAAATTAAGGGAAAAAATGAGAATACAGATCGATATTAAATTGGATGAAATTCACTAAAGTATGTGATCATCATAAAGGAGAATCATTACCAACAGAATAGTATAAATTAATAATCCATAGAACCATTTTATAGTTTTTGTCAACGCATTATTATGAAAATATTTTATTGAAGAATTACGCAAGTTTACTCTACTGCTCTTGGACTTTTGAAATATCAAAAGATCAGTATTCGGACTTTGTTTATTAAAGAAAAGAGGATCGTATCTCATAGTACTTCACTATTAAAAAAAAAACAAAAGTGATTCCATAATATATCTATTTAGCTGATTTCTTTCAAGCATAATTCTTTTTATAAACCTGATGTGTGACTAAACCTCATGCCATTGATCTTCAAACATATATCCATCAGTAGCAGAGTCAAGGTTTTGAGCTAGGAAATCAGCCGTCTCCCTTATGAATCTTTGAGCTTCTCTGACGAATAAAACACATCTTTTAAAAAATCTCACTAGGGTAGCTTAGTCTCCGGCTATCTCTTGACTCCACTACTGATGTCTATGTTTTTTCTTTCTACTGTTGAAAGCTAAAGACCATCGAGAGATAACTGTTCTTTACTTAATCAAATTTTTAGTTAAATCTCGTTAAATCTATCATTAAAATTTTTACTAATGAAAAATAATCCTAGATAGTATTTTCATTTGTTTAGACTAGTGATGGGCCTGACTTAATAGGTCGTTTTTCAACAACAGCTACACTTGATCTATTTAATAATAAGAATCCATATAACAAACAATTATTTCAATGGTATGAATTTAAGTTTGGTGATAAAAGAGCCGGCGAACTTCTAGCTGTATTCGAACTTAACGAAATTGATCCGGTAAAAATAATCGAAAAAAAAAAGTTTTTTTTCTCAAGAAATTTGATTTATTATTTAAATAGGAAAGTCGACAAACTAAATCAATATTTAATCTTGACGAAATTGAAATAACAGCAGAAAATTTTCCACCTAATATATATATAACAAAATTTATGAAAAATAAAATTTATGAGATTCCACATATAATTATGCCTGATTTAAAACCTTATGAAATAGAAGTAAATTTTATTTTACCTTTTCTTTTTTAAATATAAAAATAATTCTCAAAAAATAGGTTATGTTTTGGGGTTTACGTGAATGTCGTCCAATTAATTTTCAATCAATTCAACAAGCTGAAGTATCTATTGAATGTGCTGGTGCACGTATAACTAAAATCATAAAAGATGTACAAAAAAATCCAAATTTTGAATCAGCACTTACAGATACAGACAAATACAAAATAATTGTTGTATGACGAAAAAAAAAATATCGAAAATGATTTCTCGTTTTTCTTTTCATTTTACGTATTATTTATCTTTTAGAATTTACCAAAAGATAATAGTTTTTGGCCACATTTAAGTATTAGTTGTGTACAACATCGACTTTTTGGAATGAAAGAGCCTGTAGGTAATCTAGTCGTAACTGATTTGCAAAAATATCTTGAAAAACCACGTGTTCCTTTAACATCAAATGATGAGGCACTAGCTGAAGCAGTTAATGAACTTTCGAAAAGACTTCCATATGATTTTAATCGTGTTCGACGATCGGTTATTGATGCTTACGAAGGTAAAATTCAAGATTTATATTTATATTCTATAATAATATCACAAAAAATAAGATATTAGAGATGTAAAGACAATCTCAATCGGAGATGAAACAGCAAACTTCATGAATCTCGAAATATACACATTGCCTTACTTAAATACCTAAGCAGACAAAAATTTCTGCGTATACATTATGACGGTTTCCGTTTGAGCGTTTTCATATTCATTCAGTAAACACCAAAACCTGATATTTTCATTATAAAAAGTGCGTTCTGCATCTGAAAAACGTCCAAAAAAATTTTCTCACAATATTTTTGGCATACACATCGCATCATTTTTATCTGTTAAACACGTCAAAATATTACGGAAAATACTTTTGCATGTTTTCGAGATGCAAATCTTTCCTTATTATCGTATCATCACTAGAACCCATTGAGTCCGAGTTCGATTCCGAAAAAATTTTTCTTCATCTTAATAAAATGTGAAAAAAAAAGAAATATTACTTATTTATAACTTGAAAAGATAACAGAAGATTACTTAAATCTCGTATCTTGCTTTGATGATTTATCTTAATGAATAATTCAGAAACTAAAATAAATATAGTTGGTTTTTTTTTGAGTTTAAAATTAAATAATTGATGAGCTAGTCAAGCTCTTGTTCAATTGTTATATGGTCGATTTGCAGAACACATAATATAAATCATAATTTTATTTGTATTTTTCAGCCGTGTTAGCTAGTCAAGATAAGGAAGTAGGACAGCGAAAATTAACAATATTCGAAAGTGAAACATGTCAAACAGAAAGTCTTAATGGTAGTCAAATAACAATAATTAATGCTGATTCATTGGCATTAGAACATGAGGTAAAATATTCGAAATAAAGATATTTCATTAAACGATGATTTTATTAAACATTTTTTTTTAGAATGAAAATAATGATATATCAGAAAATACAACAAAAACTTCAAACAATTCTAGTATTCAATCGAAATCAACTATTGATAATTATCGAGATTTAACAGCGGCAGATAAATTAAAACGAAATCAAATGGAAAAAGTAGCTACTTGGTGGAATAAATATTATGCATCAAAAGCTAAACTTGTATGTTGGATTTTTTTTTAAATTCTTCAAATATAAATTTTGCTGTTTTTTTTTCATTATGATAGAGATTGGAAAAAAAACCAATAATTGATTTAGATGAAGGACTTGAAGATAGTTATAATGTTTATGCTGAGTTTTTTGAAGATGAACCCAGTCTGTAGTTATTTTTAATAATTTTTCTTTCGATAAAATTTTTTTTTTCTGTTCAAAGTTGGTGTTAAACAACGTTGGGCATTTTGGAATAAAGCTAAAAAAGCCATTATGCGTGCTGGAAAAGCTCGTAAAGAATTGAAAAATTTAGCTTTTCATGGAATCGAACATCTTACAGATTATACAAAAGTAATACAATATCATTTTCTTAAAGATTTTATTTTTCTTTTTTAGATAAAAAAATCAGCTATTGATGAAAGTTTAGATATTATTGAAAATGATCGTCTTAAAGAATTAACATTATTACAAACATTTGATGTAAGAAACAAATAAATAAGATAAAAGAAATTTCTTTCAATAGATACTCATCAGGAGTTCATTGTCTCTAAAATTCTTCGGATTATCTTTTGATAATCTCAATGAAATTTTCTAATCGGAATTGAATGTCATCCGAAGATATGAGATAAGAGTCATAATCAACAAGTAGTCTTCTATTTTATCGTCGTTTTCGTTCTTATGTTTTTAAGATATTGTGGATAAATATATTAATATCATTATATTTCTATTCTATTTTCAATAGATTATTGACACAGAATTAGAAAATGTTCACGATTATGAAGGATTTAATGATTGTCTTGATCTATTTCCTTTGTAAGTTTTATGAAAATTTTCAAAAACTATTATATTTATTTTATTTAATGTTTTTAGATATAAAGGAAAAGGTACAAGTCGTTCAGACGAAAAGGGAGATGAAAGTCGTGTTTATGCTAAATTCAAAGTCAGTTTATTATAATTTTCTTTTGGTGATTATTTTTTGTTTTATTTAGGGAAAACTTCGTATTCGTGAAATAACATCAAATGGACCACATCGTATAACATTAGCAAATATAAATAAAATTCCTCGAATGTCTATTCATCCAGTTTTACTCAAAGAGGCTTATGTTGAATCGAAGAAAAATCGTAAAACTGATTCAGGCATTCGAACAGATCAACAAATGCTTCAATTTGATTTTAATCAACATCCAATTACACTTAAATGTCGATTGTATATTATTAAAGCATTATTATATCGTGCTCGGGATGCATCAGGTAAAGCTGATCCATATATTAAAATTTTATTAGGCAATGAAGTTATTATCGATGATGTTAATGGAAGACTTTGTAATACATTAGAACCTGTTTTTGGGAGGTAAGTTAAAACAAAACAAAAAAAAAGAAGAAATCAATGAAAAAGTTTCTGTTAAACTATTCAAAAATAGATCTTATGAATTCGAAGTAACAATTCCTCAACAATCATTATTACATATTCAACTTTGGGATTGGGATTTAACAAGTTTAAATGATAAAATAGGTGAAACAAGTATTGATATTGAAAATCGTTGGTTCTCATGTCATAGAGCAACATGTGCTTTACAAAATAGATATGACAGGTTGATTTATTAATATAGTATTAAGTAAATATTCTTTTGTATTTAGTGCTGGTTATAATGCTTGGCGTGATACAAAAAAACCTACTATTATTTTAAATGAATTATGTCGAACAACAAATATAAATTTACCAATTTATACATCAGACTTTCGTTCATTAACTATTGATAAAATACGTTTTGATTGTGATTCTGAATGTATTGAATCTGTATCGAAAGGAATAGCAAATGATATGTCACATCGAAAAGTTCATCATGAATCACCAGAAGAATATATTCGACAAAATACTGCATTAGCTGCACTTCATGGATGGGGAAGAAAAATAAATCCAGTAAAGATATATTTTTTTTCTTTCTTATTTATAATTTTTAAAGAGAAAAATTTAATTTTAAATAGAAAGGTGCTTTAGTATCTGAACATATTGAATGTCGATCTATTTTTGATCCAAAAATTCCTGATGTTGAACAAGGCAAATTAGAAATGTGGTTAGACATATTTCCAATGTCTCGTCCACCATCAAGTGCACCAGTTGATATAACACCACTAAAACCAATCCCTTATCAATTACGTTTAACTATTTGGAATACAACAGATATTGAATTAAATGATGAAAATTTCATAACAGGAGAAAAAACATCAGATATTTATGTAAAAGCATGGATTTTAGGAGAAAAAGATGATGGACAACAAACTGATGTTCATTATCGGTTAGTTTGAAAATAAAAATTTTTAATTATTTTATTTATTTATTTATTCTAATAGATCATTAACAGGCGAAGGCAACTTTAATTGGCGATTTATATTTGATTTTAATTATATTGATATTGAAGAAAAAATAGTTCATGAAAAAAAAGATTCAGTTTTTCAAATAGGAAATAGTGTAAAAAAACTTCCACCACGAATTGTAATTCGTGTTTATGATGCTGATCTTTTTGCAGCTGATGATTTTCTTGGTTTGTTTGTTCTTTTTTTTATTTCTTATTTGAATATATATTTAAATTATTTTAGGTGAATGTATTCTTCTTATGACACATTTACCAATAGGTTCTAAATCATCAAACAATTGTAAAGCTGATATTCTACTTGATCCAAAACATCGATCATTAAATTTATTTGTAAATAAACGTATTGCTGGTAATAATTTAATTTTTTTAAAATCAATTTCGATTATTTATTTATTTATTTAGGTTGGTGGCCATTGATTGCTCCATCAAAAGTTGGAGAAATTCGTGACACAATTCTATTAGGTGTAAGTTATAATCATAGATAAAATTAGATAAATAAAATTCATGATTTCTCTTTTTTTGTTTTACTTTTAATAGGGTAAAGTTGAAGCTGAATTTACTCTTCTTACAGCTGAAGAAGCTGAAAAAAATCCTGTTGGAGAAGGACGTGAAGGACCACAACCACTTGAGGAACCAAAGTTTGTTTTATTTAATTTATTTATTTGAAAAAGATATCTGATTTTTTTTTTGTTCAGTCGTCCAAAAACTTCATTTCAATGGTTTACATCTCCATGGAAAACATTTCGATATGTTGTTTGGCGTAATTTTAAATGGTCAATTATTATTGGTATAATTATATTTATTTTTGTTGTTTGTCTTTTACTTGCATTATGGTCACTACCAGGAGAATTAGTTGGACAACTAACAAGCAAAGTTTTTAAAACAAATACCGGCAAAAAATAAAGATTATTTTCTATTAAATAAATACAAATTTATTCTATCATTCTTTTTCTTTTGTTGTTCTAATATTTAACATTCAATAAAGATTATTTATCTCAGCCTGTAATTTTTCGTTTTACTGGATATAGGCTTTCGTTTTATTTTATTCAGAAGGAAGAGAGATTGTGGGAGGATACTTAGAATTAAAAGCTCTACAAACGCTGAACATTTCATCAACATTTCAGATCATTTGGATACGGTATAGTCGAGATATTCAGCTGTAAAACTACAAATATTCGTTCTCCTCAGAAACAGGCCATGGACCCGAACCCTTTTCAGAGGAGATATAGTTCATTAAGCTCTACAAGATGCCCCTATTCTTTGCTCGAAAGCGATCCGACGGTTGGATATCTTTCCTCCATGAGATGCCTAATTCGAATTATAGTATAAATGCACTTTCAGAAGTACTTAATCATTTCGAAAATAACTAAGAAAATAAAATATACATGCAACCATTGGGTAAATTATTATAAAAGCTATAAATGATGAAGACTTTACTGTAAAGTTAGGCAAAAATTTTTACTTTTTTTGCCATTTATCATTTATGATAAAAGCTATAAGTGATGCAGATTTGACAGTAAATTCATCACCATTTATAACTTTTACCATAAATGATAAATGGCAAAAAAGTAAAAATTTTTGCCTAATTTTACAGTAAAGTCTTCATCATTTATAGCTTTTATAATAAATGATAAACGGCGAAAAAAGTAAACATTTTTGCCTAGCTTTACAGTAAAGTTTCCATGATTTATGTTTTATAATTAACGATAAGTGACGAAGAAAAAGTTTTATTCTTTTGCTAACATGAGTGCTGTGTTTTTTTTCGATCTCCATTTATATTATAAGTCGAATTAGACAGCTGCTCGTTTCCTCGTTAGACTAAAATACGAAAAAAAAGGACTTCATACTTTTACTTGAGATCTAAATAAAATAAATTTAACGTGCAAAATCAAAGAACTGAAATAACTCAAAATGGAGTATACTTGTGACCAAAAAAAAGAGTATAACATACACAACTTAAAAGTTTGCCAAGAGACATGCATCAATTGCCAGTTTGAACATTATGAGAAATTGAAACTGATGATCCACACCCATACCCTCAAATTTAACTCATATTCTTATTGATACATGTTATGCACCATTTAATGATGTTGAAAAGTCTATAAGAAAAATTTATGGTAAATTAAAATATTTATCCATTAATATTCGATCTGAAGAAATAAGTTTTCTTAATGCACATCGTTGGAAAGTATTGATTCCAGAAATATTACCTGAATTGAAAAAATTTCATTTATCTTATAATGAAGATATTGATGATAAACGTGGATATGCTACTTACAATGAGGGTTCAAATCAATTTGTTTCATCATTCTGGATTGGACATCAATAGATATTCGAAATTGAAGTTGTTAATAAATCCATCGTTTATTCAATGCATCTATATAAGTACATCGATAAGATCTTGTTTTTTATATAAAAAGAGTTTTTTTGTATCTTTTAGAAAACGATGGTATGAATATGTGCCAAACAAAATTTATAATTCTTTAGTTGAACTTAGTAAATCTACTCAACTTACTTTAATAAACCATGATTTAACTGATCCTGATAGATTAACAATAATAAATGTAAAAGTTGTTACACGTATATTAAATATCGCTCAGATTTATCATTTGGAAATTCAAGGCAAATGTAATTTATTGGTTCATTAATAAAGCTTCTTCAATTTTTACCAAAACTTTTATCATTAAAGGTTTATTCTTTATCAGTAAATGAACTACGTGATTTAAATAATGAAGAGGGTGCGGGTGGGTTAGAACGGAAGACAGACACCCACACCCTGATTATTACACGCTATTGTTTCTACAACTCATTGGATATTTTTTTTCAAATCAAAGATTTCACTTACATATGAAAATTCTAAATACACATTGTTGTCGAGCGACGTTGAATCAAGATTTTTTGCCGTTGTTTGTGATAATAATGACGATGGTACAGCAGCTAAAAATTAATGTTAAATTTAGATAATAAAGTTTTGTTAAATTGAAAGATTTACGAAATTTTGTTGAGAATGTTCGTTTGTTGATGGTGTTGTTACTACTGTTGATGATAAAAATTGATAATTTGTACGATCAACAAGTAGTAAACGATGACTTGACAAATAATTTGGTACTTGATTCGATGATTGTTTGTTTTTGAATGTATATGAATAACGACGGTGGTATTTTTGATAACATTCTTTGTGTACTTGTTTATTTAATATTCTTGTCGCTAAAGTAATACCATTTTTATTTTTTCTTCAACATCAACACTACCTATTGTTGTGAATTGGTTTTTATTTTTAATTCCTGATCGACAACATAAAGCACAGGTGGACGACATTATTGCACCTTTTTATCTGAGAAAAATCTGAAACATGTTGAACAATATAACAAGATCAGCTGTACAAATAAGTATTGAAAAATACCATGAAAATAAAATGGAACAAATCGATGACAACTTCGACATTAAATTGTCATTCTACAAATGACAAACCATCACTATGACAACAATTAAAGAGGGCTGTACAAGCAAAAGGTTTTCAGTCTAATAATCAAGTTTAGAGAAATAGCTTAGTAATAAGAAGTATTTCATTCGATTGTAAATTAAATTTAGAATTTTTTGATACCTAAATTATAGTATGATAATTTTTGGGCCAAAAATATAAATCAAGTGCATAAGTGACTTCAGAATCTGATGATAAAAGTGTGACTCATCTAGGGTCTGATAGCTTACCAAATTATTATTATTATTAAAATCTGTATACGATTTTAGAAACTAATATGACAGCACCTGTGAGTGCATATGCTCAGCGCATGATTCGTTTAAGTCAACGAATCTTTACTGAATATCCTAAAATAGTATTTTCAAAAAAACAACATCAAGAACAACATGAAAAATTTCTTCGTTTTCTTGACGATCGTCCACATACAGCAGGTGTACTTGTTTCAATGAATTATTATCCACGTTATGGAGAAATGTATCATTTAATGGAAGGTTTACGTGAACATGGTCTTTTTAGGTGCAAAAATGTTTTTTTTTTTCTAAAATCAAATTAAATCTATTTCTTGTACATATGTTTCTAGAAATGAACATCGTGATTTTAAAGAAGAAGTCGTTCGATTGCGTGTTCTTCGTGGTAAACAACGTAAAAATATACGTCTTCTATATCCAAAACGTATGCCTGAACTTGCACCATGTTGTAAACCATCATCTAAAAAATGATTTTTCTTTCATTGTTGTATGTTTTTTTTTTCTTCTTTCCTATACAACAAGTAAAATTAGCGTATAATTTATACACGAAAATGACTTTTATGTTTTATTCAGAAGAAAAAAAAAAGATTATAATTTTCCTTTTGTCATTCAATATGTTCATTCAATAGAATGTATTATTTTCTCATAGATAATTTGACATATTGGCAAATCATTTGGAATATATGAATGAAATTTATAAAGCTAGCCAAAATTGTATTGTATTGATTCAAGTATTCGATGATATAGATATAATTGTCAATGAATATTTATAATTAATTGTCGTATAATATTTGATGATTTAAATTAATATTCAATGAAATAGATTGTGATTGAAAGAATCTTATTTATATTGCTTCAAGAAAATAATAGTTTGAAAACAAAACTATTTTGTTATATATGAGATAAATTAATCGATTAATAGTTATTACTGATTCATAATGGCTTGTTCTCTCTGTGGATATATATATATATATGAAAATTTTGTTTTTTGTATTATAGATGGAATTACGACATTGTAATCGTCTTGCTATTTCATTAGTTCGTCTATCTAGACAAGTAAAAAATTATCTACTTATATATTTTATTATTAATAATAATCTTTTATATAGCCGAAACTTTGTTATTCTATTCGAAATTTTTCTTCTTCATCAAGATTATTTCCAATAAATTCATCTCAAATTGTATTCAAACGTTCTTTATCATGGCAATTTTGGAAATCATCAACAACAATTGATCCATGGCCTGCAAATGTTACTCAGTCAACATCGGAATCTATTACAATTGCACCACCAACAATACCTGATATTCCAAAAATTGAAGCAGATGAATTTGGTTATATACCTGAACCACCAACTATGCCATCGGATGTACCTATTGAATTTCTTTTAAATGCTGCTGGTGAACCAGCTCTATCAACACTTGAACTTGGTAAATGGTATTTACCAACTGGTTGGGTACAACAAGGTCTTGATCTTATTCATGCTAATGTTGGTTTACCATGGTGGGGAACAATTATAGTCGGTAAGTTAACAAGCAAGTCAAAAAAAAACAAAACGTTGTTTTTTAATTGATAAATAAATGAATAATGTAGGTACGTTTATTATTCGTATGTGTACAACACCGATTGCAATTTATAATCAACGAAATGCTGCACGAATGCAAATACATATGCCAAAATTACAAGAATTACAAGCAAAATTACAAGAAGCACGTATTCGAAATGATCAATTAGCTAGTAAGAAATATATTTCTATAAATGATTTTGATTGAATTTTTAAAAGCTGTTAGAGCAATCCCTATGGAATTAAAAATGTAAAAAATACAATTGTAACGACTCTTGTTAATCACAGAAAGAATGTTGTTAAGGCGTCTATCATGGTTTATGGAGAGTGCAAATGTCTACCTCATATACTTCAACAATCCTTTTAGATCATGTTTCACAAAAAAAAATTTTTTCATTATAGTCATGAGAGCTGGTAGTGATTTAATGGAATTTATGAAATATTCTGATATTAAACCATGGAAAGCAATGCTTGGACCATTTATGCAGGTAAAAAGTTTTTTATTTGTCTATTATAAAAATTTTTCATCATAGAATGTATTTAGATGCCTTTTTTCGTATCACTTTTTCTTGGTATTCGTGGTTTAGCTAATTATCCTCTTGAAAGTATGATGTATGGAGGAGTACTATGGTTTTCAGATTTAACTGTACCTGATCCTTATTATATTCTACCAATATTTACTGCAATTACAATGTTTATTACTATGGAAGTATGTATTTCATACATTAATCAAATATAATCATTTGCGATCTTTGTTGTTTTTATTTTTTCTTATTTAGCTTGGTATTGAAACGGGTATGCGTACGGCAAATTTAGGACCCATGGCTCGAAATGTATTGCGTGCGATTCCATTTCTTTCATTGTTTTTTACTGTGAATTTTTCATCGGTAAAATTATTCTGTTGTTTTTTTTAATATTTATATAAATTAATATTTAAATAATAGGCATTAACACTTTATTGGGCAATTTCAAATGTTATATCATTAGCTCAATCAGTTATATTACGTCAACCATCTGTTCGACGAGCATTAAAATTACCAGCACCACCACCAAAAAGAATAGATACAAAAATTAAAAAGAAAAAAGGTCTTGCTGGATTTCGAGAAAGTATGATAGATTTATTAATGTAGCAAAAATAAAAATATTCAATGATATCTATTTAGATTATCGTAATAGCAAATTATTAGCTGAAGTTGAAAAGCGAAAGCAAGCAGGAGGTTTTGATTAAATTTATATAAATATTGTATAATCTTTCTTTTTTATTATTTATATTCTTTAGATGATATATTTCGTCGTGCTGGTATAAGTTCAGCTGTACCAACATATAAATATGATCCAACGAAAGTTAAAGAAAACAATCCACCACAAATACGGAAATCATCTCAATAATTCAAATATATTAGTTGTTTTCTTGTTGTTGTTGGTTTTTTTTACTTATAAACAAGTTTAATACTATTTAGAGAAATCAAAAAAAAAACAACATACAAAATTAGACTTTTAGAAAAGTAAAGATGAGATTTATCTGTAAATATTCATATATACATATGGACAAAGACAAAAAAGAAATCCTACAAGAATAAAGAATGAAAGTTTTCTGAAATGTTTATTCAATATTATTCAAGACGATTTAATAAATAAATAGGTAAAATAGTAGTTGTAGGTGATGAAGGTACAATACGTGTTATTGTTTCATTTTCATCATCTGATGAAAGAATGATATAATCTGTAAAAAAAAATAAAATAAGACAAAGAAAAAGTAAGAATTTTAAAGCTTTACCTGATTCATCGATCATTCTTTTTTCATCATTTGATCTTACTAATGACACTAGAAAACAAATTAAATAACAATAGTATTAATCAAGATTAATATATTTCATTGATAAGTATCAATTGAAAAGAAACAAAAAAAATACTAAGAAAATCATACAAAAACGAGTTGTAGAGTATTGTAATAATCTCTAAAGAAACAATTTCTTTTTCTATTTTACTTCTTATATGTGTATAACACCTAGAGATTGCAGAGTAAAATTTTTCTGTACCGTAACGGAGAAAAATTTTCTAATGTTTACTCTGCTCTGCATATCTCTAATAACAACAATAGATAAACATAACATACTTGACATGGAAATATTTTCAGATGGTTTAATATCAACTTGAAGGTTATTATTTATTGTTTGTTGATTTTGAATTTCAATGATATTATTTGATAATTGAAAATCTTTGATATCTTCTGAAGATTCAATATCACATGAAGAAAAATGTAAAAGATGAAGACCTTCAAATTCATTATCATACATAATATCACAATATTCATGATTAAAATTAGTTGTTTGATTATCAATTAATTTTCCTTGTTTTATTTCGAATTCATTAATCGATTTTTTTATTGCAACTCGTTGTTGTTCATTTTTAATTATTGTTGATTTTATAATAACTTTACGATGATGTTGATCATTTTCTTTTTCATTATCATCATTATTTCGTTTACGTTTTAATTTTGATAAATTATTATTATCATTATTTGTTTTCTTTGATGATGATTGTTCTATTTTATCTTCTTTATTTTCATCATCCAATATATCTTGATCAAGATAATTAATTTTCAAATGATTATTATGATCTTTTATACGTTTTTTAAATGTATTTATTTTATTTCCTAATTCTGCACGTAATCGAAGACATTTAAAATCTCTAACACCATGATAATAAGCTTTTATATAATTTAATATTATTTCATTTATTATACGATTACCAATTGCAGACCTATATGAAAATATTTTTTTTTTTTGCAATATTCGATATATGTAGAATAAATAATATACCAATGTATACCATCTGGTTGACGAAGATGTAACATATTTGAAAAGATAGTATGAACATCAATATAAAGAACATTATGAAGATTACACATCTAAGACAAAAAAATAAATAAATAAATCGGAAGAAACATGACACTATATTTACTTGAGAACAATAATAATTTCCATCTCGAATAAGACCTAAGAAATAAACAAAAAAGAAAATAATCTTGCCGAGTCTGCCTTCAATACTGAACTACACTTCTGTAATCTTATTTTAAAATCTTTAAAATATGGAAAATTAAATTTGATTTTTGTATAATGATTAAATATTAGCAAGTTTCTTGTATGTTGTATGCTGTTTAGGGATGTGCAGTTTCAGTTTACTGATTATCAATATTAATAAAAACATGTACAAAATAATCCAACATAGAATCATTGAATTCTTTATTCGAAGCATTTACACGATGGCCAAAAGTCATCGGACAGTTTTTCATTGTCAATGACTTTTGATAGAAACAAGAAAACGAGCTGCGGTTTTTAGTGTTGAAAGTAAGAGACTTGGGGAGTATAGAACTATATAAGAAACATAATATTCAAAAACATTTTTAAATATTATATTTTTTATATGGTTCGATGCTCTCAAGTCTCCTCTTTTCAACAATAAAAACTGTCCGAGCTGTTTTGTGTCACCCTGTCTATCTTACCTGGTAGAATTGGTCGTATATATTCAGCACTTGATATAATGACACCTCCTTAAATTTAGATTAAAACATGAAACCAGATATAACAACATAAAAATAAAAACTTTTCTAACCATTCGATGAATTTGAAACAGGTAATGCTGAAATCCATAGAAAAAGTGCATCAGGTAACATTTGACGAAATGAACCCATTATACGATCAATATTTTGTTGATATGATTTCATTGCATAGATACCATATCTAAAATCAAAAAAAAACAAATAACATATAAAAGAATATTCATTATATAAAATTTTTACCGAGATATATCCCATAAACAACTATTCATTATAATAATATCTGGTTTAATTGCTTGATTTTTAATATCAGTAAATATAATATTTTTCATATAGGATGAATAACATCTTGTTAAAAAATAAAATCGAATACGACGTAGACCACCAGCTGTATGTTCACGAACCTATTTAAAATATTTATTTATTTATTTATTTATAAATAAGATTATGATTTTTACTTCTTCATAATCAATTCCATTTGTAAGACCTTTTTGAACACCACCATTAATTAATTGATCACCATAAAAACGTTTTTCTCCCTTTGAATAGAAATATGGTTTTGTTTTTTTTTATTTTTTGTATTTTCATTTCAAAATAAATAAATCTATTTTACTTTAACACGAAGTTCTTTTTCATTAAGGAAATCATCTACATTTGAAAATTTAATAAGATCTTTATATAAACCTCTCACAACTATAAACAATCTAAAAATTTATTGATTTATTAAGAAAAATAACAAATCAGTTACCCGAATCACCAATAATTAGAATATATTTATCAGAAAGCAATTGTTTTACATCTTTTGAAGTGAGTGTATCCAATGGTGACGTCATTGCATGACTATGAAACAACAAAAAACAAAAAATCTAAAAGAAATAAATAGAATAAATAATTCTTTGTTTCAACTGTGTTAATATAAGATCATAATATCAATCATTCAGAAGCTTTAAAGAAAAGAAAAACAAAACTTTTCAAAATAAAGTTCTTTTTTTTAAACATCGAGATGTCTAATGTTTATTATTCTATTCTACTACCGCTGTCAAGTTAAAACAGTAATATTCGAGCATAAACAAATGATTTATACACCATTATATTAACTAACAAATAATTAGCATGAAAGAGTAATATGAATATTTAAGAAAAACAAGATACAAGATGAATTGAATGATTACCACAAGTCAAAAATGAATTTCTCTTTTCAAAAAAAAACTAAAGCATACAAAAACAAAATTGTCTATTTACACAACTAACTATAGAAATTAATTTTCATTTACTAGTATTACATTCGATGGTGATTAGTGTTGACATTATTCAAAAATCTATATGCTACGATAAGGTAATGGTATCACAAAAAATCAATGATTGAATTCGTCATTACATATCTAAATTGTAAATCGTCGTTGAAAATCACATTGAGCCCACACCTGAAAGGTCTCAGTAAGACTAGAAAAAGATTAAAAGATTATGTGTGCATGGCTCTCTGGAATCAAATGATAACTAGAGATGTAAATTGATTGGTTGAATCGTCACGACATAAACAATAGATGTTTGATTTTAAAAAAATCTCCGATACCCTAAATCAATTTTTGGAGATAGTGCCGTCTTGTTTCTTGTCAATAAGTTTTCTATCATCGTTTTCTTTCTTGTTTTCATTTCAAAATTTCTCAAAACTAAAACTTCTAAAAAATTTAGTACAATATGAATTCAAATGATGAATTACACTTGGTGAAGTTTCTCGTAAGTACCTAGAAAAATAAAATCATTTAATTACAATTGATTGTATCAAAAATAAAAACTGAATAAAGAAGGAAAAAAGAAATCTTTTTTTATTTTCGAACTATTAAACTAGACAAGATGAATTTGTTTTTCTAATAAAAGTTTATGTATATGTTTAAATTGCATAATATATTGATCATCATTTTTTATATCAATAATATCATTTGAAGCACCATTATTATTTAATTCATTTGATAAAATTAATCCATTAACTGATTTATCAGCTTGAAAAAATACAAATTCACTTGAATTTGGTTTAGGTAAAAGTGGTATTAATGTATTATCATCATTTTGTTGTTGTTGTTGTTGTTGCTGTTGTTCAGATTTTAATTCTGATAGAACACTTTTTTTTAAATGTTGTTTCATATTATTTAAATATGTATGTGCATAAACACATTCTTCAGGTGATAAAAGTTCTTCTGAATTTAATGCTTCTGATGGATATTCTTCAATTTTAAAACAACGTGTTCGAATATATGAACATAATATAAAATAAACACGATTATATTCTGTTCTATGCATTAACCAACGAAATGATGTTGTTTTATGTTCACTTGTTTTTAAACGTTTTTCAATATCATCAAGTAATTCAAATGTTGCTAGAACAAGTAAATTTTCATGTTTAAGTAATACAGGTGAATATTTTTCATTTAACCATGCTTGTTGTAAACGTTGAAAAAGTTCTTGTGATGTCATTATATCATCATCATCTTCTTCTTCTTCAACATTTTCATTTATCTCTTGTTGAGATAATACTGGATAAGAATTATTTTCATTCATATTTAAAACTAACAAAATGAAAGAATGTATCTATGTGTTAAATAATAGATTGTACAAAGAACGCCAATCAAGAGAAAAATAAATCTATATGTATGTGTAACCTCTGAAATAAGATTTGTGTCTTTGTTAAATCGATAACTAGCGCCATCCAATTTTTAAAGATTTTTTTTAAGGTAAAGAATTTTTTATGTTCTTCTTTCTATCCAATAGAAAATATTTGAATAGTGTGAATAGTTCAATGATTATTTATTCGTAGTGATTGGTTAATGTCAAATGTCCTTTGTTGTTCGTGAATATAACTTATTAAAAATCTTGGTTTCTTGAAAATTTTGAGATTAGTTTTATTTTGAATAATGTAAGTCAATTATTTGTTTCTGATTTCTTTTTCAAAATAGATTTGTTTAAGTGTAAAAAAAAAAAGAAAAGACTGTTTGAGTATTTTTTTTTCTTGAAGGTTTTATTTTTATTATAAACATTTTCTTGAGTTTCGAAAGCAATTTTATTATTGTACTTGACTAAATTCACACTACGATCTAGGCATTAATAACAACATACATGCCTATCGAAAAAATAATAACATTACTCTATAATATATTCTCTCGTTCAATACATATATATTTTTTTTTTCTCTATTCGATTGATGAACTAGAAATAAATATTTCTCTTTGATTCTGATCAAAATCATATTAAATCTTCTATTCTTCCATTGTATTTGTTTTATTCTAAATATTACACCTTAATAAGAAATATTTCATTGTTATATGTCATCGCCATCATCTTATCTTTTATATATTAATTTCACTATGAGTAAAAAAATTTTTTTCGCCGATTGAAATTACAAAAACGAAACTTCAACATACATCCAAATGGGTTTTCTCAGTTAAATAATCCATTGACATCTAATATTGACAAACTTATAGTCGTATACATATTAGTCGTTCGTTGTCCGTTCTATCTCTCTCCACCTACGTATATATCGTATATGACAATGATGTTTACTTAAAGCTTAAAGATACTTTTTTTTTTGTTGTCTTTCTCTTATCGATTCATATTATACAATGTGCCATCATTTAACATCTTTCATTTATTTCAGATAGTATGTTTATGTGAAAAAGTACATATAGTTATTCCTTTTTTCTTCTTTTTGTTTTTTTGAGTTCGTGAATAAAATAGAATTGTCTTTTTATCAAGTAAGTATTTATTATCATAGAAAAAAAAATAAAATGAATAATAATAAAAGTCAGTGATGATAAAGCAGGGGTCTTGAAAACATCTGAGAATGTTGGATGTACACGAAGAATAAATAATCATTGAAATGTTTTATTTTTGGTTAGCTTATGAAAATAAATAAATTTCAATATGATTATTCTATTCTTCGTGGGATAACTATTGGCCAATTGAACTGAGACTTTTATTTTATCGAAAAAAAGAAAAACAACATTATAATAATTTTAAATGATTTATATATTTATTTAGATGTTTATTAATCTAGTAATTAAAAATAATGACTGTAGAATCTTATGCATGTCAATCATTATCAAATAATAATTATCAACAAATTCATATGGCTATGAATAAATTACCTATACAACAGAATGGACATTCAAATATGAATGAAAATCGTACAGATGATGACTATGGTGGTGGTGGAAATAAAAATAATTTACAAATATCTTCGTAAGTGTTGAATATTTAAAAAAAAAAGTCAATTGTAAATTTTGTTTCTTTTTAGTAAAAATGGAATTTTGGATAATCGTAAATCTCGTTCGACTAATTATCATAATCGAGTTAATATTCGTGTTGATGTAAGTGAAAATGTTGTTTTTTGTTTTCATTATTTTATTTAACATGCGATACAAAATTCAAATTCGGGTAGACCATATTGCTAACTTCACTTTTGTTATAAAAAATTTAATAGAAAATGAAATTACAAGAATGATTTTTTCAGAGATGTTTAGTTTGGACTTTTTCCTCTTATTAGAAATTATGTCTAATAATTTGCTTGCTTTAGAAGTTGACAATACGATCTAATAGAGTTTGTTATTTTTTCGCCAAGATTTTTACATCATATGTTACTTTGTATTTTTATATTTTGATTTTCTTTTTTTTTAAAGTCAACTCGTTGGTGGCTTGTTCATTTTATCCGACGTTTTATTATTGATCCAAAACGTACATTAACACGAAGTCGTAGTGTAACAGATGCTACACGTTTTCTTCGTCATATTCAAGCACATGTATCAACAGCTATTAAATGTGATTCTGTTTATGAAGAATCATCGATAAATACAAAAAAACGACGAAATAGTTGTTTTAATCATAATCATATATCTGATGATGAACATAGTACATGTATTCGAATACGTTCTCAATCAATGCCTAATCATAGTATTTATAGGTGAGTCTGAAAATAATAAGTAAAACAAAAAAAAAAAAGAAAATTATTAATTCTTTTTAGTTCTAACTATCAAATGTTAACAATAAAACGTCGATCACAACCAATAGTACGTTCATCATCTGTACATGATCTTAATCGACATGAAGTATTTCGTGCAAATGAACTTGAATTTGGTCCTATTATTGGACAAGGTTTTTATGGTATTGCACGAAAAGTAAGTGAATAAAAATTATTTTGTTATTTATATTTGAAATCTTATTCGTTTTTTTTTTTCTTAAAGGTTACACTTAAAAAAACTGGTCAGATAATGGTTATGAAAGAAACAAAAACATTTGATAAAGAAGCACAAAGGATTTTTGTTAAAGAAGTAAGATAATTCTTCAATAAAATTTTTTAGAAGATTAAAGGATTATAGACTTAATAGAACGTCATATTAAGATAATTAAACTTTTTTCTGAAAAGAGTTGACTATTTGTCAAATTTCTTCGTATTCTCATTATATGGATTCTATCATTAGTCAAGAAATATATAAGTGTATTAATAACTAACGTTATTTTTAGAAGGATATAAATAACATATTATTTTTTTAGAAAGTGTGTCAAGTTGTATCGTTTACTTCCTTTTCTACTTAATGAGAAAAAAAGATGATAATGATGATGATAATCAGTAAAAACTTCTTTTATCACATATGCATGTAGTTTTAGTTTGTTATTTAATTATTTGAATTCAAACCTTCTATTCTATTTTAGGTACAAGTTCTCAAAAGATTAAAACATCCAAATGTTCTCAATTTTATTGGTTTACTTCTTGATAAAGATAATCAAATGTGTTTTCTTGTTGGTATGTATTTAAAATTTAATCTTTAAGAAAAAAAATACAAAAATAATCCCTGTTTTCTAAAAGATTATATTGCCGGTGGTACATTAAAAGATATTATTCATGATTTATCAATACCATTAACATGGTTACAACGTTTACGTTATGCAAAAGATATAGCTGCCGGAATGGTAACAAAAAGTTTTTTTCAATATTTCTATTTTCATTATTATTTCTATTTTTTTTTTAAAGGAATATCTTCATTTATGTAATACAATTCATCGTGATTTAAATAGTTCAAATTGTTTAGTTAAATCTGATGGACATGTTGTTGTAGCTGATTTTGGTTTATCAAGAATAAATCTTGAAGATGGTGATGATGATATAACAACACAAATAAATGATGGTTCATCAATTAATTTTCGACGAGAACAACGTAGTACAAGTACAACAATAACATCAAATGGAAATATTGTTGTTGTTAGACCTAAAACTCGACGACAATTATTAAGAGATCGACAACGGTAAATAATTTAGAATTTTCTATTATTTAAGAAAGACAAAAAAAAATCTATTAATTATTCTTCTTTTTTTTTTTAAGATACACAGTAGTTGGTTCACCTTATTGGGTAATCATTTTCGATAATACAAAAAAGAAATTGCCTATGTATATTTTCCTGGTTTTTGTTTTTCTAGATGGCACCTGAAATGTTAAAAGGTCAATGTTATGATGAACGTGTAGATATATTTTCATTTGGAATCATGCTTTGTGAAGTAAATAAAATATTCTAAAACAACTAAATTTTTTATTATTTTTTGAATTAGATTATTGGTCGTGTACAAGCTGATCCGGATTATTTACCTCGTACACAAGATTTTGGTTTAAATGTACATTTATTCAATCAAAAATATTGTAGTAAAGATTCTCCAAAACAATTTATTGCTATAGCCATAGCTTGTTGTGACATAAATCCTGATTCAAGGTAATAAATTTAAAAACAAAAATTTGTTTTTATTTATTTTATTTTTGTGTTTAAAAAAGACCTGCATTTTGTGTATCTCATCCATGGCTTGAAGCACTTGCATTAAGTGTTGAAACAGGCGTTTGTTTATCCTCCAATTCGAATACAAAATCAGATCGAATCTCGAATGGAAATTAAATCTTTTTTTTGTTTCTCTTTCAACAAGCAATTCAATCCCGGTGTAATTTACTTCTGTCTTTTTTTTTTTATTTAATATCTATTCTGTTGATAATGCCGTCCAGTGCAAAGAAAAATTTCTATCGGCATATAATAATTCCATATTGTCAGAAAACTCTTACTATAATTATTACTTCCTGCTTTTTTTTTTTTTCTTTATTATATTCTTCAAACTTAGATTTTTCTGTATCTCGTTATTCAGAAAGTAAAAAAAAAAAAGAAAAGCCAATTTTTTTTCTTCATGTGTGTATATAAATATATAATATATATATATATATTGTCTTTTACTCGCAGCCTTTATGTTTGCGTGAGTTTATCCATGTAATCTATATTCATTTATTTGTTACAAAGAATAAGAAAAAAGAAATTTCTTTTTTTTTTTTTAATACATAAAAAAAACGAAAATGAAAAAAAATGAGAACTAGAATATAATTTTAAAGCGTGTTATCACTTGTTGTTTCTTTTCTTTTGCTTTTTTTTTATCATAAATCCTAAGTCTTTTTGGACTAAGAATGAGATTTTGTGAAAAAAAAATATATCACATGATTGTACTCAGAGCCACTCTATAAAGATTAATACTAATGATGAAGGAAGAAAAAAAAAAACGAGAGAAGGGCTAACGATACCCAATCAGAAAGAAAGAGAGAATATATATACATAGAGTGCGTCATGGTGAAGGAAAAAAAGAAATAAGAGACGGCCCTTCTATTATTCTCTCTTTTTTTTCTGCTTTCTATCTGACGTTTTCTTATTCACTTTTTTTTTTCTCATTTTCTTTTCTTTCGTTCTTTCTAGAAGATATAAAAGGCGCTGCATAGACATCAACTCGCAGTGCGTAATCATTCGACTGTATTGTGTTGTATTGTTATTGTCGTAGTGGTGTTTATGTTAAAACCATCAACCATTACTACCAAACTTAATTTTTATTCGTCGATTATTTTTCTAACAAAAATAAAAAAAAAGTAGAATTATAATATAATCATGCCGTGTATTGAAATTCAATCAAGTAGTGATGTGTAAGTATTTATGTCTTTTTTTTTTTAATTTAATGAATAAAGATTTTATTTTTTCATTAAAGTATGAATCGTTTTTGTCATCGGAACGCGGCCGGACCAACGTGGTATTCCTGATGTTGCCAACGGTAAAAAAAAAATTTTTTTTTTTTGTTTACTATATTGCTGTTGGGTTTTTTTTTATTATTTAGCTGCTGCAGTCTTAACACCGAAAGTAAGCGCAGAGGGCGGCAGCGTTGGACGACGAGTTTTAGCCTCGCGCCATACTAGTTCACCTATCCAATCGTTAGAAATCTCTCAAGTTTGTTTTAATTAAATTATTATTATTATTAAAAAAAAAATTAATTTCTTTTTTATTAATTTAGAAATTTGCTAATGATAACAATATATTTGATGGTGATGAAATTTTAAAAAAGAGAAATGAAGAATTAAAAGAATTTATTGATGAACATAATCTTTTATGGTCAATTAAATTACGTAGTGATTCTCTTTATGTAGAACTTCCTCAACAATTGAATGATGGATCAAAAGAAATGTGAATTTTTTATAATTAAAAATTAAGAAAATAAATAATATATATTTTATATTTTTAAAGGTTCGTTAGTCTTCTCGAATTTGCTGATGATGTATTACGTTGTAAACATGTTATTGTCTGTTTTAATAAAACACGTTCTGATCGTGCAGCTTTAGTTAAAACATTTATGTTTCTTGGATTTCATGTTCTTTCACTTGACAATACATTAATGGCATCAAATGACAAACAAGAAGACCAATTATATATGGTTTATATCATTGATAGTGATGGATAAATTTTCTTCACTCATTATAATATATCGTTATCTATTAGCAACAAATTAATTTTTTCCTATCCTTTAGGTTCTCTTCTTTTTTCTTTTCCTTCTAACATTTTCTTTCATTTAGCGATCAAACATCGAACGCTCTTCGCTCGCTGTGTCTTACTTTCATTCATTTATCTTATTTTGTGTTTGTCTGTCGTGTCATTTGTCTTGTTGTGTATCTTATTGCTTCTATTTGTTGTCTTTTATTGATGAACAAAACAAAAAAAAAAAAAAACACTGAGATTTTCTTTTTCTTGATTATGCTTATTATAAATTAAGGCATTCTTTTCCATATAAAGATCAGCCAAAATTTCTTGTTTCTTTCTATTATTTTGATGTTCTTTTTTTTTTGTCATTCGGCAAAGCCATATGTATGCGCACTTGGATTTTTCTTTTTGATTGATGGGTTTTCGTTCGCTTATTTTCCCCCCTTTGATATCTATCAGTTAGTTTAAGAGAGTTTGAAGTTTATGTCAGTATTTTATTCCATTTTGTCTTCTATATACATACATACATTGATTGCAACATTAACAAAATAAAATGATTAAAAATAAAGTTATTTAGTTATTTTTGATATTAGTCTGAGTAGCAAAATAAAATAACAAAAAAGCAATACCAAGTAACTAAATAATAATAATTTCAATTGGCAAAATGGTCATACTTTAATCACTTCTATATAATTTAAAATTATCCAGGCAAAAATATCCATCTGTCTACCTGTTATTCCAAACTACCATGTCATTTTCTGCATTCTTTATAAATAAATAATTCTTTTCTATTTTTATAATTCTTTAAAACAAATCAACATTGATTAAAGAAACAAAAAAAAAAAGAAAAAATAAGTCAATTTCTTTTGAAAATTATTTAATATTGTTTCTAAATAATAGACATGAAATAAGTGGAAACAAAACTTGCTATAACAAACAAATATCATGGTAACATATATACATAACTTGTAATTATTCGTTGATCTAGTTTTTTTCTTCATATGGTAAAATAATAAAAATAAGTTTGACGGAACATTGATGATGATTGCATGTGACAAAAAGAAAAGAAATAGAAGATTACTGAATAATGATTATAAATGCATTCATTTAGTTTAATGAATTATATATATGATGCAGTGTGACCCTAAATAATGCTCCTGTAAATTTTTGGTCTAGAATATTTTTCATCATCAACTTGAAAATTTTCTAATGTTAATTTTATTTTCACTTTTTGCTGCTTTGCTATAGTTAATGATCAAGCTAAAAAAAACATTCTTATTATTTCACTTGAGCTAGTAATAATTATTTTGTGACTTAGAATCTGAGAAGCCTTTGCTTTTGGCAATTAATCAAAGTAGATTCTTCCGTAATATGTCATTAAATTTCAGCAGAATATGACGTCAAAGGTCGTGATTGTTTTCTTAGAGATAAAAGCATATTGTCAAAATTCACATGAATAGTAAGAATATTTGTTCTAGATGAAACAAAAATATTTACGTGTTTTATCATTTAGATAATCGTTGCTTTTGCGTTTATCTTTTTTATTTTTATTGATAAATGGTCTAAAAAAAGAAAAAAACTCAAATGAGATTTATAATTACGAATAGATCTAAAATAAATCTACAGATGTCACCTATGGGAATCGAATCAATTTCCTTTACATGCTTCCAGTTGTAGAAGAGACTTCTTTTTTCTTTTCTAATTAAATTAATGACAGAAATTTTTTCTTTCTAATAATCTTATCAAATAGAAAAATGAACTTGCAGAATTTCACACATGAAAAATTCTAAATCAATTTATAACAAAATATAAAGAAAAGGAAATTAATATGTCATGTCAATCATGTTGACATATTAATTCTTCTTGTACACTTAAGTCTAATCTACGCACATAAAAATTAATTGAATGACTTGTCAAAAACAACATTGATACCATATTAAATTTCTTCTATAGATCAATTATAATAAAATTTGACTTGACAAAATTTATTTTTGGTCGATAATAACATGTTATTTATATATTTATATATAGAACAATATAAAATATCATATGTTCGATTCGACGTCTATAAATTAAGTTATCTTTTATACTAAACTATACGATCCAAATAAATAACATTAATCAACCGAATCGTGTTAGCTTTTTTTAATACAAAGACGAACAAAATCATAAAACGTAATCATACTCATGAATTGACATGTATATTTGATGATAGTATGAGAGAATAAAATATGACAACAAATGTTCAATAAAGTAAAAATTTCAACAGATTTTCATTTATATGACTTAATACGATAAGTAATGATTCAGGTGAATGTATTGAAATACAAGAACGTTTATGAATATTTATTAATAATTTAAAAATATTTCAAAATAATGATAAATGTATGCAATATATTGAATCATTATCAAATGATCGTTTTGTATTAATTATTAATGGTTGTCTAGGAAAAAAAATTTATTTCAAATGTACATCATTTACGACAAGTTTATTTAATATATATATTTATAGTTCTGATAAAGTAAGAAATAAACAATGGATTAAACAATATCCAAAAATGAAAAGTTTTATTGTTAAATTCGATGAATTAATATCACAAATACGTTCTTATCAAGAACAATCTAATCAAATAAAGATAAATGAACCATTATCAATAAAAATTTTTTGTAAAAATAATGAATTGAATGATAATTTTATTTATTCACAA